ACTGTGACAACGATATGACACATCTGTCCACACGATATGGCTGAGATATTGCCGATGTGACATTAAATAATAACTCACTCACTCCACTCACATCTGTCCACAGTGTATTGACATGCATCCCTGTTCCGTCACACAAGCAGGACACAACGATCACTCATCTCATCAGATACTCCGAGAAATACAGTTGTAGGCATTGTGCACGATATCGTAGCGAGGAAGATTGGAAGTCTCATTATACTGTAACCGTTAGAACATGTCTGTTTGCCCCTATCACCCCTGTGTTAGACAGGTAGAGTGACCGGAGGTGTTGCGTTATGTAATGGTACAGATACCGTCGTGTATATCTTAAGTGGATCGTGTTGATCATGGTGGTGGCTATGGTGACAACGACGACAGCAACACCTACTACAACAAAAGTAACTACTACTTGCACTACTACTACTGCCCCAACGACCACCGCCGCCAATACCACTACCAAAGCTTCTACTACTGCTACTACTACAACCACTGGTACTACCCTTAGTGCTAGTTAGTTGTTGCTATTACCGCTGCTGCTCGCTACTACTACTACTACTACTACTACTACTACTACTACTACTACTACATTAACCATCACTACTACTACTACTACTGGCTTTGACGACGATGCTGGTATTGCATCCACTACTACTACTGCTGCTACTACTGCTGCTGCTGCTGCGGCTATTACTACTACTACTATTACTACTACTATTACTACCGGGTAAGAATATTGGCTTGCTTCGACGCTCAGTCGATGCTCATAATATCAGTCACCGACCGCTGCCATACACAGGAAACTAGAACTGCCAGATGTGTAAAATGACATAACGTCATATTCGACCTTCACACGACGGGCAGTGATATTCTCATGGTAAAGGTGTTGGTCAAAGTATTCATCTTTGGCTAGATCGGGAGGCCGTGAAACTGTTTCGGGAGGTAGTGATACTGTTTCGCACCGTGATAAAAACGAGAGGCTGCGTCAAAGATTACTCATTATTATTTACCGCCGTCATATAGCTTGAACATTGCAAAATCCGGCGTTAAACAATAAAAAACAAACACTCAATGAAGTAACATGTAATGCATATGGGCGTTAACACACAGATTCAGCTGGATAACGGTTCATAGATCAATGCCTGGGTCAACCGTTCCCTGGATCCCACGATCTATACATATGTATGTAGCGATGTCGCCCATAGAATCAGTTGTTAGGATAACGTGATGTTTCTTTAAAAAACTCATAATTGGTGGATGTCGGAGAAGTGTGATGTTTACAATCCATTTGAGGTATGTGCTAATCGACAATTTTTGTTCAACTTGCATAACTAAATCACATCACGGCTCGCTCAGCAATCAAATTAAAGTACCTTTGTCTGTCGGGTTCAATGCGACTGGAGACAGTTATCTTGCATGCAGTACCATGAGGCAACCGCAGACATGTTTGAAATTCCATTAGGAATGACGTTCGTATTTGTGATCAGCAAAGTTAGGACAACATCCATCAAATGGCTTAAATGGAGGCTTTTATTCATATTGAAAGACGTATTGTTGACGACGGTTTGTTTGTAGACACTTATACATGAGGATGAACCATGAACCCGACTGTACTTCCAGTCGGTTGTGGAAACTGAGTCTGTGCATTTGCATTTGAGGCGGCGCTTTTCCCCTTCATCCCATATCAGATGCTGAGATGGAGATTTTAGCGTCCGCTTCATATATCCGTAAGGCAACGGCCGTATTGGTTGGCACTTTCTTCTAAGATTATATTTTGTCTCTCGAATATCCAAGAGTAGACGTGATTTTGTGCGTGGGCGTTTGTGTGAGTACAGCTTGCATGTATAAATGTCGTGTACAGTCTTGTGATCAGGAGCTGATAGTTTGTAGGGAGCACCATCTGAGGGCGCGGTGTATACATGTGGTGGAGAGAATGCGTCGTAAATGGCAGGGGAGGTTTGTGTGTGGCAGAGATATTGTACGTGGTAGAGGTGGATAACATTGTAGAGAGGTGGTGTACGTGGTAGAGAGGTGGTGTGCAGATGGTAGAGGGGGGTGGTGTACGTGGTAGAGAGGTGGATTACATTGTAGCAGAGGTGGTGTACGTGGTAGAGGTGGTGGTGGGTAGTGTGTGAGGTGGTGTGCGTGGTAGAGGGGTGGTGTACGTGGTGGTAGAGGGTGGTGTGTGGTGGTAGAGGTGAGTGGTGGTGTGTGCAGTGGTGAGGGTGGTGTGTGGTGGAGAGGGTGGTGTATGTGGTAGAGAGAGCTGGTGTGTATGTGGTAGAGGGGTGGTGTACGTGGTGGGGTTGGTGTGTAATGTGGTAGAGGTGGTGTGTGTGTGGTAGAGAGGGTGGTTGTGTGTGGTAGAGAGGTGGTGTGCATGTGGTAGAGGGGTGGGTGTGTACGTGGTAGAGGTGGTGTGTGTGAGGGGTGGTGTGGTGGTGATGTGGTGAGGTGGGTACAGAGGTGGTGTGTGGTGGAGGCTGGTGTGTGTGGTGTGGTAGGGGGTGGTGTGTGTGGTAGAGGGGTGGTGTGCACGTGGTGGGGAGGTGGTGTGTGTGGTGGGAGGTGGTGGGTGGTGGTAGTGGGTTGTAAGGTGGTGTGCGTGTGCACAGTGGAGGGGCTGGTGTGTGTGGTAGAGGTGGTGTATGTGTGGTGAGTAGAGGAGGGTGGTGTGTGTGGTGAGGTGGTTAGTATGTGGTAGAGGGTTGTGTTATTACGTGGTAGAGGAGGTGGTGTGTGTGGTAGAGGTGGTGTGTGTGGTAGAGGGTGGTGTATGTGGTAGATGGGGGGTGTGCAGTGTGGTAGAGGTGGTGTGGGGTGTGGTGTGGTGGGTAGAGGTGGTGTACCTGTTAGAGGGGGTGTGTGTGTAGAGGGGGTGGTGTGGCAGAGGTGGTGTGGTGTGAGTGAGAGGAGGTGGGTTAGAGAGGTGGTGGGTTGGTACATTGAGGTAAGTAGAGGTGGTGTGTGGTGGTGGGGAAGGTGAGTGAACGTGGTAGAGAGGTGGTGTGCGTGGTAGAGAGGTGGTGTGTGTGGTGGAGAGGTGGTGTACGTGGTAGAGGGTGGGGTGTGTGCGTGGTAGAGAGGGTGTGTGTATGTGGTAGAGAGGTGGTGTGTAACATTGTAGAGAGGGTGGTGTAGGTGGTAGAGGGAGGTGATGAACAGTGGTAGAGAGGTTGGTGTATGTGGTAGAGAGGTGGTGTGTGTGGTAGAGAGGTGGTGTACGTGGTAGAGGGGGTGGTGTACGTGTGCTAGAGGGGTTGTGTACATACACTAGAGGTGGTGTACGTGGTAGAGAGGTGCTGTGTGTGTGGTAGAGAGAGGTGGTGTACGTGGTAGAGAGGTGGGTGAACATGGTAGAGGGTGGTGTACGTGTGTAGAGGAGTGTGGTGTGTGGTGGTGGTAGAGGAGTGAGTGTGGACGTGGTAGAGAGGTGGTGTACGTGGTAGAGAGGCGGTGTACGTGGTAGAGAGGGGTGGTGTACGTGGTAGAGAGGTGGAGTGTGGACGGTGGTAGAGGAGGTGGTGGATGTGGTGGACAGGCGATGTGCAGTGGTAGTAGAGGTCAGTGTGTGGTAGAGGTGTGAGTAGTACGTGGTAGAGAGGTGGTGTACGTGGTAGAGAGGTGAATGTAATGTGGTAGAGGCTGGGTGTGACGTGAGTAGAGGAGTGGTGTGTTTGTGAAGTAGAGAGGTGATGTACGTGGTAGAGAGGTGGTGTACATGTGGTAAGAGAGAGGCGATTGTTCGTGGTAAAGAGGAGATGTGTGTGTAGAGAGGAGAATTGGACGTAGTAGACGGATTGGTGTTCGTGGTAGAGAGACGGTAGAGATGGGTGTATGTGGTAGAGAGGTGGTGTACGTGGTGAGACCGGCGTGTGTGTGTGAAGGTAGAGGAATTAAGGTGTAGGTGGTAGAGGAGGCGATGTACGTGGTAGAGAGGAGGTGGACGTGGTACAGGGGTGGGTGGATGTGGTGGAGAGCTGGTGGACGTTGTAAAGGGGGCGATGTACGTGGTAGAGTGGCGATGTGCGTGGTAGAGGTTAGCGATGTATGTGGTAGAGAGCTGATGGACGTGGTAGAGAGGTGATGTACGTGTGGTAGAGCGGAGGTGTATGTGGTAGAGGGAGGCGTGTACGTGAGTAGGGTGGTGTGTGTGGTAGAGGAACTGGTGGACGTGATGGTAGAGGTGGTGTACGTGGTAGAGGTGGTGTGTGTGGTAGTAGAGGCAATGTTCGTGGTAGAGGGAGGTGTGGGTGGACGTAGTAGACAGGTGGTGTACGGTGATGCAGAGAGGGTTGTGTGTGTGTGGTGAGAGGGGGCGATGTGTGTGAGTAGAGAGGTGGTGTGCATTGCGTGGTAGAGAGGTGGTGTGCACGTGGTAGAGGTGATGGTGTGTAGTGGTGGTGAGGAATGAGGTGTACGTGGTAGAGGTGGTTTGTGCGTGGTAGAGGGTGGTGTACGATGTGAGAAGAGGTTGTGTGAGTGGTAAGAGGTGGTGTACGTCGTAGAGGTGCGATGTGTGAATTAGACCGGCGATGAAGTGGTAGATTGGCTTGATGTACGGTGGACAGAATGCACGTGAAAGTGAGAGGGGTGGGACATGGTAAGTGGAGATGGTGGACGTTGTAAAGAGGCGATGTACGTGGTAGAGAGGCGATGTACGTGGTAGACAGGGCGATGTACGTGGTGAAAGCTGATGGACGTGGTATAGAGGGCGATGTACGTGGTAGAGAGGTGGTGTACGTGGTAGAGGGAACTGGTGGACGTGGTACAGAACTGGTGGACGTGGTGGACAGGCGATGTGCGTGGTGGGGAGTCGGTGTACGTGGAAGAGAGGTGGTGTACGTGGTAGAGGGTGGTGTACATGGTAGAGAGGTGGATAACATTGTAGAGAGGTGGTGTACGTGGTAGAGAGGTGATGAACATGGTAAAGAGGTGGTTGTACGTGGTGGAGAGAGGTGGTGTGTGTGGTAGAGGGTGGTGTATTACGTGGTAGAGATGGTGGTGTACGTGGTAGAGGTGGTGGTGTACGTGCTAGAGGGGTTGTGTGTACATACTAGAGGTGGTGTACGTCGTAGAGGTGGTGCTGTGTGAGGGTAGAGGGTGGTGTACGTTGTAGAGAGGTGGTGAAATGGTAAAGAGCTGGTGGACGTGGTAAGAGGTGGTGTACGTGGTAGAGGCTGGTGGACGTGGTAGAGGGCGATGTACGTGGTAGAGGGCGATGTACGTGGTAGAGAGATGCGATGTACGTGGTAGAGAGGAGGGTGGACGTGGTACAGAGCTGGTGGATGTGGTGGACAGGCGATGTCCGTGGTAGAGAGTCGGTGTACGTGGTAGAGAATTGGTGTACGTGGTGTACGTGGTAGAGAGGTGGTGTAATTACGTAGTGACGTGGTAGACAGGCAATGTTCGTGGTAGAGAGCTGGTGGACGTGGTAGACAGACGATGTTTGTGGTAGACAGGCAGGAGAAAGGCGATGTACGTGGTAGAGGAGGTGGACGTAGTAGACAGAGGCGATGTTCGTGGCTGGTGGACGACAGGAGAGATGTACGTGGTAGAGAGGGTGGTGCTAAGACGTGGTGGACAGGCGATGTTCGTGGTAGACAAAGGAATGATGTAGAGGCTGGTACGTTGTAGACAGCTGGTGTACGTGGTAGACCGGCGATGTACGTTGTAGAGCTGGTGTACGATGTACGGGCGTGTACGTGGTAGAAAGGCGATGTAGGTGGTAGACAGGCGATGCACGTGGTAGAGGAGAGGAGGTGGACGTGGTACAGAGCTGGTGGATGTGGTGGAGAGCTGGTGGACGTTGTAAAGAGGCGATAATACGTGGTAGAGTGGCGATGTACGTGGTAGACAGGCGATGTACGTGGTAGAAAGCTGATGGACGTGGTAGAGAGGCGATGTACGTTGTAGAAAGCTGATGGAAGTGGTAGAGAGGCGATGTACGTGGTAGAGGTGGTGTACGTGGTAGAGAACTGGTGGACGTGGTAGAGAACTGGTGGACGTGGTGGACGGGCGATGTACGTGGTGAAAGCTGATGGACGTGGTAGAGAGGCGATGTACGTGGTAGAGAGGTGGTGTACGTGGTAGAGAGGTGGTGTACGTGGTAGAGGAAGGTGGTGTACGTGGTGAAGAGCTGGTGTACGAACTGGTGGACGTGGTAGAGAGCTGGTGTACGTGGTAGACAGGCAATGTTCGTGGTAGAGGCTGCTGGTGGACGTAGTAGACATGCGATGTACGTGGTAGAGAGGTTGTGGACGTAGTAGACAGGCGATGTATTGATAGAGAGGTGGTGTACGTGGTAGAGAGGTGGTGTACGTGGTAGACAATGGTGGCACGTGGTAGAGAGGTGGTGTACGTGGTAGAGAGGTGGTGTACGTGGTAGAGAGGCGATGTACGTGGTAGAGAGGCGATGTACGTGGTAGAGAGGCGATGTACGTGGTAGAGAGCTGGTGTACGAGAGGCACATGAACCACTAGGCCACCCCAAATCCCTACTAACAATGAGTGATGACGATCAGTGATTTCTATTCCAGATTGAACCTATGTTTATATTAGTGGTGTTATGATGTTCCCTGGAGTCATTCAACTGCAGTACCACGGCAACCCCTCAATCCCATCGTAGATGCCATGAACACATATATAATCTTCATCTGAAGCAAAGGAATCTTTAATGACACGAAAGCTGATTTTGAAATGATTATCCCTATCTTCCAGCCATGTTTAACGTACTAAACACCAATCAAACACACACAATCCTGCAACAATACCCCTTCGTGTGACACAAAATCGGTCTCTAATCTCCCTCACTAACCCTACAGTTCATCGCCTCATTTCATTCGGTCAGTGTCTGGCACGCCATATGTTCACAAAGCAGTCACCGTATGATGTTAAGTCGCAAGGCAGATGCTGATTTAGATTCCCATGGTGTGATGAAGTCACACGTCCAATATCAAGTCTCCGGCAGTATAGACGATCTCATCTCTGAGCTGTCTGGCAAGGTTTATACATATACTTACAAACTAAAAACACACAATAATGCGTTGGAGTATTTCGACTATATTTATGCATATACTTATGTGCTAAAGAAACGCAAACAACTCTAGATCTGCATGGAATTTTTTCATTTTCAAAAGCCATTTGAATATTTTGGCGATCATCACAGCCAGATAACTTCTTTGAGTGGCATTATTAGATGTTGGAGAGTCCCATGCAAAATTTTCGATACCGATTCTTGCATCGTTGTCAAACAGGTATGTCAGATAAGGACAAACTGTACAGATGGACAAGTCAGAAAAGACGAACTTTATTGATGGACAACCCGCTTGACAACGATACAAGAATCTGTATCAAAACGTCGCATCACCTGAATAAAGAAGTTATCCATCTATAAAGTTTGTCCTTATCTATATCACAGCCAGAGTATCCTACTAAATCAATAAAGAAAGTTACAACAGCAGGACCATGATGTCCATTAACTTGATGTTCATCGTTATTAATCTCCCGTTTTGTTTTGAAACTTATTTCCAGAATACTGTGAATTAGGGAGATGAACTTTAAAACAAATTGTGAACAGTGTTTCATCATGCCGTTGTGTGACAATGATGTGAGAGGTAAACCTGAAGTAACTCTCAAGGGACAATCAGTGAACCTTTCAAAGTGCAGTTTCACAATACTGTATCAAGTTTCACTTGAGTTTTACAAGAGTATTATTTTAAGAAACCCCGTATACAGTTTTTGCAAACATACGGAATGCTTTATCAAGCGAACTTTTCCAAAGATACACTTACATACATGTTAAACGATGGAACGATGGAAAGAAACAAGAGGGTGGTTAGACATGGGGACTTGTTGGGTCGTTGTTCTTGGCACCGATCATTGGTTTGTCAGGCCTGAATTCTCGTATTGAGAGTCTGTCGTCGTTCAGATGGAATATTGCCCTGTGCGACGTTAAGGACAACCAACCGAACAACATCTCCCTCAATTTATCGAACTTGGCAAGTTTGCTTTCTAAAACCAAAGTGTCTTTCATTCAGATGGCGAAACTATACGAGACTTAATTGCCCCAGTTGGTTAATTCAATTTACGGAACAACCTCGAGAGTTACTTCACCGTCGATTAGCTATTGGCCACTGACCATTGGACAGATTGTCTTCAGACCACTTTACCATCAAGATGAAGTACTGGAATCACTTAAAATGGCCGTTTGTCTCAATTGGGCCTGTCCACTGATTGTCCAGGACACTTCAGGCTGGCCGATGGAGTCCCTATACTGATAAAGATCTCACTAATTGGCTGACCTCATTTTCCTGCCTAATCAGTAAACTTGTTTCGGGGCAACAAACTACTTCAAATTGTCTGTTAGGTTCCTGTCAATCAGCTTATTAAAAACAGAAATGTAATAAGTTATAAATTCGCCTTTGGCAAGGCGTGAACATGCTTTTACCTTATTCATTGAAAGTGTATGACATGTTCACTTAGAACAGTACCTTTCACAAAATCCACCAACGGCAATTTGCTGCAGATTTTCATTTCACTGTTTTACATAAATAGAGAGCAACGTTGTAATCGGCTGTGTTTTTCTTGGAATAATCTAATTACTTTTCACTGTCAAATTCGTGCTGTACATGGTGTCTGTGACGGATAGAAACACGTGTCAGTTGTGAATGGGTAGTTGAAAAAGATGCTGAGGTTTAGTCATCCCTGTTCTTGTTTATAAACTCATTTCCAGGAGAAAATCAAGAAGAAATATTTTAATTGTGTAGGATTCTTAACTGACATCAGGCAGGCAACAAAGGAACACTGTACTGCACTCCCAGGCGTGTTGCATATCTATTACATTGATATAACGTCTTATGTGTCGCCGACCTTCTATCAGTACAATCAATTCAGTTTGCTTGTCACGCCACAAATGACCCTGCTTATAACGGTTCTCTACAAGACTAGTCATACATATAGGTGGTATTTTCAGGTAAACATATTTCAACGTGTCGTGGATGTTAGATTTTAACGTTGCTGCACACCGATAGAGTGTCGGTCTCACGATGTGCAATTTATATACTGGACAAAATAAGTTAGGGATATTGGTATTTTTATGATTTATATCTTATCAGTGTGTCAATAAATAAATATATCATAATTCATAATTTCAAAATTGCATATATCCCTAACTATATTTGTCCAGTATACATTCAAACATGTACACACTGCTACTGAAACATAACTCATATGTTGATAGTAGCCAATGTCTCCCTTCACATAAATAATGCTAAATCTCCAGATAGTAAGTGCAGGGATATTCACCGGCAAGATTTGGTAGCAATCTTTCTTGAGAGAGTGACTGAAGTATGTTTCTTGGCCGCTTTTTACAATATTCCAGGCAATGTTTTAATTATATCAATTTAAAATCCTATGCTGGTCCGAACGTGCACTTCCTTTCTACGTTGATTACCGAAATAAGCGCATCTTTACAGGATGAGTTAGTGAGTATGGTTTTGCGCCCCCTTTAGCAATATTCCAGGAATATAACGGTGGGGACACCAGAAATGGGCTTCACCCACTGTACCCATGTGGGAATCGAACCCGGGTCTTCAGCGTGACGTGCGAACGCCTTCACCACTAGGCTACCCCGCCGCCCCTTTACAGGATGAAATATAATAACGACACCTTGCACGTCATCACTCTACAGCTTCCGTGGTTTCCATATTCCTGAGTTCCAACGCTAAAGTTCAAGGCCGTTTTGTGTGTTTCGACTCGAAGCTTCTGGTGATTGCTGACAGTGACTAATGAGAAAGATGGATGATAGTTCTAGCCAAATATGTTGCGGTATAAGTGATAAGATCCTACTACCTGTATTAATTATGATTGGTCATGTCACTGAAGGAAGGAACATACCTGTCTTCCATTCCAAGGGAGGTGACTCCAAATGCCATGTAAGGGGAGATAACTACTGGCGACCAAAGTAACCATTGGGGCATCGCCCCATATTCTCAATTTTAAGTCTCCAGAGATGATTTTGCAAATGCGTTTGTTTTGTGATAAACTGTAATACAAGAAGTGAATGTGCACTTATTGACGTTGGTCATCCTATGAGGACGCAACATTCACCGTTAAGTGTTCTGTGCATTGATTGATTTTACTCGCGTGAGTCAATGTCTTCATTAACTGATGAACGTCAACAAGTGCACATTCATTCCTGAATGGAATATTTACACACACTACAACTGTGCGCACCTACCTCCCATAATAACTCAAACAGGCGACTGTGTGGATTGAGTTGTCAGGTTCCGTGACGATTCATCTTCCTCTGCTGCATGCATCCTATTCATAATGTCAACACGATAGTCCATACTTTTTAGTATTTACAGACCAACCACACTTATATCGTGGTGTAGTGGTTAGAGCGTCCGCTCGGAGAGTGGAAGGCCGCGGGTTCGATCCCCGACCGCGTCATACCAAAAGACGTTAAAATATGGTACTTGTTGGTCCCTGCCTGGCGCTCGGCATTAATGGGTACAACAAGTACTGGTCGGCTCGGAGTCAGTATAATGTGTCTGAGTGGGGTATTCATGCTTCACTGCGGCATGGTATCTCAGTGGGCTAGCACTATAAAACCAGCTTCAGTCCGGGCTAGTAAAAGCAGCCGCACATACACATACACACGCATGCACGTCGTCATATGAGCGAAATATTCTCAAGCACCACGTTAAACCCAATTTCACCTCACCTCACCTCACCTCGACACTTATATTGCTGATAAACCCGTGAAGATCCGGATTAGAATTGGTCCTCAGGAACTCCTGCTTGTAAGAGGGGACGAAAGGGATGGGGTGCTTAGGCTCGCTGACTTGGTTGACAATTGTCATCATATCAGAGTTGCGTAGATCGATCTCATGATATTGATCACTGGATTGTCTGGTCCAGACTCGATTATCCGGGTACAGACCGCCGCCATATAGCTGGAATAGTGCTGAGTGCGGCGTTATCTACAGACCGCCGCCATATGATGCCGGGTTTTAAACAAGAAACAAACCAACACACCAACCAATTGCGTAGATCGTTACTCATGTTGTTGATCACTGGATTGTCTGGTCCAGACTCGATTATTTTCAGACCGCCGCCATATAGCTGGAATATTGCGGCGCTAAACAACAAACACATATTGCGGACAAGGGCTATACATTTGATAATTGATCTTTACAAACGTTTGCAAAGCGTTTAAAAGGCTGAAAACAGTTGCCGAAACCTTTGAGTTGCTAACAAACCATGGTACCCGTAATAAATTCATTTGTATGAAATAACTATTTATTGTTAGATTCAGTTGCAGCCACCATCAAACATGAAGATATTCGCCGTTTAGCCACACGGGTGCGTTGGTATACCGGAGAGACTTCTTATCTTCGGGACAGTGGGGTTGCCAAGTGGTTTACACGTTTGCTCTTCACGCCAAAGGCCCGGGTTCGATTCCCCACATGCGTACAATGTGTGCAGCACATTCTGCTGTTCCCCGTCGTGATATTGCTGGAACATTGCTGAAAGTGGCGTAAAACTAAACTCACTCACTCACTCTCTATCGAATCTCGGCTCGCAAAGGGAATTCTGGGTTTGTTAGGACTACCAACAAATATTACGGACAAAGGACTATGCATTTAAAAATTGGTCTTTACAAAAGTTTACAAAACGTTAAAACGCTGTAAACGGTTGCCGAAACATAGCAAACAAACCGTAATACCCGTAATAAATACACCTTTATGAAATGACCCTTTCTATTGTTCGTTCCAGAGTCAGCAGGGCGGTGGGGTAGCCTAATGGTTAAAGCGTTGGCTCGTCAAGCCGAAAACCCGGGTTCGAATCCCCACATGGGCACAATGTGTGAAGCCCATTTCTGGTGTCCCCGCCGTGATGTTGCTGGAATATTGCTAAAAGCGGCGTAAAACCATACTCAGTCAGTCAGTCAGTCCAGAGTCAGCATCATCAAACATGATGCTATTCGTCCTTCAGCCACACAGGTGAGTTGGTGCAGGAGAGACTGCTTCGTGGAACATAAAGCATGCAGACGAACTCTGTGCTTCCAATGTCATGGTCTTTTGGAAGCATTCCTTGTCCTACAACATACAACACACACTATTGTTTCTTCAAGACATACACTTTCGATTTGGGAAATATTGTCTTCATTCATGATTGGGATTACAGGTAGGTTTGATGTATGCATTGACTGGAGCAAGGCTTAATTACCATGACCACACGACTGACGGAATGTTTACATCATGTATACTTCGTTTGTTCAATGTTTTGTTGCATGCAAATGTCCGTTGACAATATAACAAGCGAGCCAGGGAGTGGACTGTAAGGAAACACAGTAACATCTAAATATTAAAATGGTGTTAGCTGTGGAGCAATGTCAATCAGAATCACTTCTAAACCAGCAACATATGTGGGTTTGAGATTTGAACCCATGAACAACGGATCATAACACGGTCATAATGTGCACAATAAATTGCTGCTTCTTGTACAGTTGGGCCATCATTTTTTGAAAGTTAGATATGATCAATACTAGTACTTAATATGACAACGGAAAGTATGGCGTTTGTGTCATTTTAAGACGGCTGGGTAACTTGAGTGTCACCAGGAGAAAATGTCACTATATCATGTTTAGGACTAAGGGACCCGCGACTACACTGGCGACCACGTCTTGTCACAACATCACCAGGTCGCTGATCAACACTGACCTTGTGTTTGGGATCGGAGACGGGAGGTAGCCATACGTTCCTCGCGTTGACTGAGCCTCGGGCCATATGAGCCCCTTGAACGCAACGTTCATCGATCCTCAACTGAATCATGTTCAAACTGTGTTTTTTTGATTAAACCTTAAAATTCGTCCCACTTTCTAGCTTAAAGCTTTCGTCGCATTTCCAGTACTGAGCCCATAAAGGCAAAGATATCAAACGAAGGGAACCCAGAGGTTACCGAGTTTAAATGGTAAGACTTGCGTAAGACCAACAGGGTAATGTCTAACATGAAACAGTGTGCTTTAAATTCATGTGCAATTTCAGATTTTAATCGTGTTTGTTATCGCTGTCTTTCAGTTTATTGCGTATCGTCGAGTACATGTCTCTAGCAGCCGAATCTCCGCGTTTGAGTGGCATACTAGGGTCAATGCTTGTTAGTATTGAGAGAGTTGTCCTCGTGTTGTCCACCCTGCATTTACTCATTACCGACATGCCACTTCTCATCAATGAGATGAGACGGTACTGGATCGAAACTCGCCGGCGTACCCTTCGGGCACATCACGCCACGATTCCACAATAGCATTTGGTGTTGCAGCAGCAAGGACTTACGGGAGGTCTAGGTCTTTGCAAAATTGTATTCCTATGGCAAGAGTGACTGAAGTTGTATCGGTGAGTGGATGAGTTTCATTTTACGCCGCACTCGGCAATATTCCAGCAATCTGGTGGTGGTCTGTAAATAATCGAGCCTGGACCAGACAATCCAGTGATCAACAGCATGAGCATCGATCTACGCAACTGGGATGCAGTGACATGTGTCAACCAAGTCAGCGATCGTGACCAACTGATCCTGTTAATCGCTTGTTACGGCAAGCATGGGTTACTGAAGATCAGTTTTCGTATGGACTCAACCGACATTATTATCTAGAAGTGAACTACCGCAATTCATGTTTTACGTCCCTTGGCCAAAAACTCTTACTTGTTATCATCGGTTCGAACCCGGCTTGCAAAGATTCTGGGTTTGTTAGTACCACCTGTGCTCTTGGCTACATAAAGTGGTGAGAGGCCTGCAAAAGCCTGCATAAAACTGACACGTTATTAAAGAACTGGGTACTGTTCAGAACGGCGTTTAACCCAACTCAGTCATAGGAAGAACATGTATAGATTTATCAGGGTATTTATTGCAATTTTCAGTGAGTATTCGTTTCAACCGTATCATCGTGTCGGTGGATACCAGACATGGACTTCAACATAGTACCCACATGCAGAACCGACCCTAGGTTTTCGGAGTGACAGGCGAGCCTATTTTCTACCAGAATATCTTGCCGCCCGTAAAGTACATAGAGCAAGAGTGAAGGAGAATCTAACCATAACATTCAACCACTCTTGAAAACGTTATTTTAGTAACCGACCTCGGATAAACCAAATCGGATACAGTGAAGGACAAACCAACTCTAAGGTCAAAGCACGGTTCAAGCACGGTCAAAGCAAGAGCTGTACTAATTCTTCTTACGTTCATTTAAATATTGTGACTGAGCCATCTGAGTTCAATGCCATTGCAGTCTATATATTATCCAGGGTGCCGTTGCAAAAATAACATAAGCGCTACGACTGAAGCGAGCGCGACGTGGGTTACCTTAGCGCCAATATAACTTTGTACAGTGGCACCGTGGTTTTCCGTGTTCATTTCTGTGTTATCATATTCTCCATAGTACTCGATTGTACACTGTACCTGATTGGAATCACCGTTTTTATTCACCCAGAAGCATTAGCTGTAGTTGTTGGTGGATGTGTGTGTTCTAAAGGATACTTCTCGAATTGCCATGACAATTCATCTGTGAGTCTTCGGCGTTATATTGTGAGCTGTTCACGAGGAGCTCAATGCTCAGCTCAAACTCTCTCTTGTTTACATGACTACGAACAATGCCTGATTGGAATGATCGTTTTGAAACACCCACAAGAATTGTCCTTAGTTGTTAATGTTCTAACCGATGCTTCTCGAATTGCCAACACAAGTTCATCTATGTCTGTCCACAGCCTTATATTGTGAGATTTTCACTAGCAGCTCTGTGTTCATCTCCCAGTTCCTAACTGCCAGCTCACGCTGGTTTACAAGACTACGAACAATGTTGTGCCTGTTCACGGCGGGACAACGTAGCAACTTGTCCGCAATCTCCATGCCTCTGATTCAGTGGACCCCGAGTGATCTTACTCTTGACCTTGCAAGACCGCAGCAGGAAACAACAGTCCCCGGACTCCAAGATCGTGTCTGACCTACCGCACCTTTCACTAGCCAATGGCCTATAAGCTGATGAGAGCACGTCTGACCTGTGACCTCGTTTCTCCCCTCAATAAGGTGTTTGCCCAAGGGAGAAGGGGAACATATGTCCGTAACAACCCAGCTCCGAGGTTGCCCGGCGCACACTGCACGCAAACCTCTGCATGCTGCGTGTGATATATACACTGTCAGTATGTTGCACTTGATAAACTGTATACTGAACGTGTAAGAATCGTCGGCT